TCCTCGTTGGGGGGTAGGAGGGTAGGGGTGGGGTGTTCCCAGTGCCGGGGGGGGGGGCGCGATCATTTGACTATGACCTCAAGAGAATGGTCAGTGAAGTATGTCACATTATATTCTTGGCAAAAATGTGTTGAGATAAGAGGAAAAACACTATTTTAACACGGGATTAGCTTAAGGCAACCTCAGTAATGGGCTGGGGATCAGATGCAGGCATGGCTGAGAAGTTATTGCAGAAAAAAAGTGTCTCTGCTGTTAGATGCAAATGAGGATTTGGTCACGGACAGGAGCCTACATGAACTTCCTGGAAAGAGCCATAGTTATTTGATATATCATGCTAAGCCATGATTCTAACCATTATTCAACAATCCAGAATGTCACTCATAAACTATGGCCTATCAGCTATAATGTATGCCGCCCAGAGTCACATTCTGTGAGGTGGGCAGCTATATAAATTTATTAAATAAATAAATTGTTCGGGCTGCAAAACATACATATGAATTATTTGTCTAGTGTGGCTTAGTGTGTTAGTAATTCAGCCGTTATGCCTTGACAATGGTTCGTGACTTGGCATACTGGTTAAACCTAGCCGATTATGGTTTATTCAGTAAACCATTATTAAACAAATCATGTCTTTATGCAAAATTTAAACCCAGTCACTAAAAGAAAAGATTTGGTGTGTTTCTCAGGATGTATGAAAAAACTCAGATAAAGAGCTGGCTTAAAGATCCCTTCCAGAACACAAAAAAAATTATATGAGGAAGAAAGGAGGGAACATTTGAATTCTGTCACCTCCGGATGGCGTGTACCGTATGGCTGAAATCAGGGGAGCAACAATAAGCAACGGTGTCTCCATGCATAAGCTAGAGTACTCAGTTACCCTGAGTATCTCTGTCTCCCTTCAGATAATCTCATATATAATAAGCATCACAGTTAACAAATACTTTTTTCATAACAGATGGAATCCCATGCTCTAGCCACATCCCACAACGTTGCACAGCAGATGCAGGAGCTCTGCCAGAAACTCTTGGTTTACATGCAGGGGCTTCCTGAACATCTTCAACAAAAAATCCAACAGGCTCAGTGTGATTTGAAAGAGCTACAAGCTGTTGTCTGTAGTGCCACGTCCTTCCAGGAGCTTCCCAGTGGCTTCCTGAAAGAGAGCTCAGAGAAGGTTAACAAGGCCCAGGAGGCTGTCCATGAAGTCATGGTATATGTAACTAAGAGCATTCCTCTGTCATGGGTAGTTGGACCCTTTTCTCCTATTGAATCTTCAGCAGGAGAATCCATGGTACAGGAAAATCCATAAAGTATGTTAATTCTTTACTATCAGAAATGAATATTGAGGAGACTTGGCAATTTTTGTAGATTCCTTGGACAAAACTTAGGTGGTAGTGCTTTTAGAGAATGAGAGAAAGTAACAAATGGGTGGACCTATTTAAAGTAATTATTAACCACTTCCATAATATGTATGATTCTTTTAATATATAGTTGTAAGATTTCTAATGCCTATAGATATCTAAGGGTTTAATATATGAGAGGCATTTGCACATTGTATTTATACAATAAAATTGCAATTAAAAAGCACTGGTGGTCACTGTAGCATGTCATAAGTGGCAGCTTGAACTAGCTAGTTCTAGTGTTTGATCTGGTCCCTAACCATTTGAGGCCATCATTATAGGACAGGAATTGGCTTTCCAACTATTGAGTTCTCAGATCATGCTAAGCCTTAATATGGTTAGGTTGATTTTGGCTTAAATATGATAGGTGAAGCTAGCTATTATAATTTAGTAACTAAAGTATATAGGTTAATGTGATGTGTGAATCCAACTGGCATATGTTTGTTTATTTTGATTTTTTGGCAGCTGGTCTTAGTAACGGCAGATTGGTTGCCTTATGATTCCCTGGAACAAAGTTTTTGGATGGCCTTTTTTTCCTCCCCCAAATATTAATGGTTTTACAAATGTTGACCATTTTGTGAGTCCATTCAATTCCTGGAGATTGCAACTTGCCAACAAATTCCATTTCAGCCTTAAGGGATGCACAATGTGCTGTTCGATCCATTCTTCCATGCAACTTCAGAAGAAGCCTTTTAAAGGATCAGTTTCTCTGTATGTATGCAGGACCATCAAAAACCCAACTGCCCCAAAAATAGTTTAATTGGTTTTTTTTACAAAGGTTTACTGGAGTCATACAATCTGGAGTCAACCTTTATAAAGATTAACTGGAGTCGACCTTACCTCCTGCTGGACCAACAGTTCTGCACAACTTTCATCCAGCCTCCAAACATTCGCTTTCAGAAAAGGTTGTTGAGAAGGTGGTCAGGTTACTGCTTCAGAGGATCCTTCCCTTTACAGTGAAGTTTCAGACTGGAATATAGCACTGAGACAGCATTTGTCACACTTGTTGATAACCTCTGGTGGAATCAGGACAGGGGTAGTACAACCATTCTGGTTCTTGATCTCTCAGTGGCTTTCAATACTATCAATCACTGTATTCTTCTGGATCTCTTATGGGGATTAGGAGTACAAGATGTGGTGCTGTGATAGTTCTCCTTTCTCTGTGGTTGGGTTCAGGAGGTGCTGGCAGTGGGAGAGATTGAACCAGAGATCCCTGAGGGTGCAGTGCCTCAGGACTTAATACCCTCTCTCTCTCACACACACACACACACACACACACACACACACACACACACATTTAACATCTGCATGAGGCTGTTGGGTGAATTTGTCAGTTTGGGGTCAGGTACCGTTGGTATGCTGATAATACCAACTTGTACCTTCCTAACCCTGGGTTGACCAGGTGATGCTGTCAAGCTCTTGCCCCAGTGTCCCGGATGCTATGTGGGTGCGGATGGGGAGAAACAGGTTCAAGCTCAACCCTGACAAGACTAAGTGGCTGTAGGTATTTGAACCACCCAGGTCTGGAAATATTCTACCTTTAGTACTGAATGGGATTGCAGTACCCCCTTCAGGACTGGTGTGCAATTTCAGGGCCTTGTTGAGCACAGCTCCTGTAGAGGAGCAGGTAGCAACTGTGGCCAAGAAGGCCTTTGCACAAATTTACCTAGTGTGCCAATTGCACTTGTAACTATAGCTAGAGGTTCTTAGCACAGTTACTCATGTTGTGGTCACCTCATGTTTGGGCTATTGCAATGTGTTCTACATGGGGCTGCTCTTAAAGACTACTAAGAAGGTGCAGCTGGTCCAGCATGGGCAGTTATGGGCATACCACAGTATTCTTATTGCTTCATGAGCTGCAGTTCTGGGTGTTGGTTATCATCTATAAAGCCCATCATGGCATAGAGCTCGGTTATTTAAAAGACCACCTGGGCAGAGTTAGCATGTTTCAGGTTCTATCAATAAGACTGTCATCTGAATAGACCCAGAAAGCAGGCCTTCTCTGCCCTCTGGAACAATGAAATTCATATCGCCCCCACCCTGATCCAATTTAAATGAGCCCTTAAAATCTCACTCATCCCCTAGTCTTGGGCTAGAGCAGTTGGTGAACCCCTAGTATGCCACCCGACTCCCAACAAATCTGGGTGCTTCTTTCCCACCACTTCCGCTAATTCTTATTTGGCTCAATGTCTTCTAGAAAGCAATATACTCAGACTTCTAAACCTTTTTTAAAATGACAAAGCAGATTTGTAGTAGAGAATTCAGATTTGTCACTTGCTACCTTACATTTTAGCTTTTCAGAAAGGAATATTGCTCCATGGAAGTTGGGGAAGCTGTCTTGCCAATTGCTCAGATCTACTTGGTTTCAATGACCTTAGCAAACATCAAAAACCATACTCTGTCAACAGTATTTTTTACTTTATGTACTCTCTGAAGCTGGGAGTTATGTTTCCTGAAAGGCTGTTGAGTCACATTCAAAAGGCTTTGATAACTGAAGTGATATTTGAGTAATTTCCTGGTTTATTTGTCTGGGTAACACCCAAACTGAAAATCACAAAGGGAAGAACAGGTACAAGTACTAGTTTTAAAAAGGAAAAAAGCAAAGAGAAAAAAGATAGGCATAAAAGTTTTATTCACATGTACATAAACACTCATGTGCGTGGAAAGGAAAGAACAGAGACAAGATGTCATTTCTGAAGATAGCTGAGTTAATTTAGTAAATGTGATAATTTGCTCAGTAATAAGGGAAGCCTATTGGTCTTATGCATTGCAGAGCCTTCTGCTAGTCTCAATTCCTAATATTTTTCAGCAACTCCACCTTCTTTTCATGGAGCTGGCAAGATGCTGAAATTGACTGCTTTGATTAGAGAAAAGACATTGATAAATTTTAATGCTGACTGGAAACCCCTTTTGGACTTTTTTGCATGAAATAGAAAAAAGTGAAACCATGATTTGATGATTAGAAATAATAGTAGACAACAGAAAAAATGAAAGTTATGTTGTAAACTTATAGTAACAGCTTAAAGAAATTTTATATGTTTATCTGTTGTAAAAGAAAGTTGGAAGTTGTTTTTCTTTTGTATTTCTTTTTCTTTCTGCAGTTTTGACCTTGTCCTCTTTTTCATTCTTTACCTTTTTCTCTTTTCGACTTTTTCTCTTAATTATTAGTTCTTGTTAGTTTTTATCTTTATTTTAAAATTTTAATAATTTAAAAAACACACACACAACTCCACCCTCTTTTTTTTGTCCTCATGAATATGACAAATTATACACGGACAGATAAATAGATAGACAGACATGCAACCTGCTACTTCCACCTGGAATGTCAGTAAAAGGAAAAGGTTTAAATCCAAATTCTGCTCACTGAATAAATCAGTACCTACCTCATCTATTTAATTCACTCTAACTTTTTAATGCACTCATGTTTTTAAATGATTTGTTTTTACAACTGAGCTCTTTGCACAGAGTTCATCCTGCTTTGGTTATGCAAACACTCCTACGAAACCTGTCGTCCTACCTCTTTTGCTTCTATGTCTCAGATTGCCTTTGAAGTCATAAAGGCAATGTCAGTAAAACAAAACAGAGCATATACACTGCTAGTCCTAATGCAATCTACTGAACTCTACATGAAAAAGAATTGTTTGCTTTTATTTCTTCCCTACAGTAACATGACATGGCATCTAACAATGATGTTCAACATGGATTGAACCAAAAAAACAAAACAAAAACACACTGCAAAGACAAACAGAAAACAGTGTACCTTCATATTAAATGATCTTAATAAACATTAAGGCAGAAGCTTTAAGGATAGAGTGGAACACTGTTGCACTACTTCCATGAAGCTTTTGGAAGAAACCTGTAGTCCCAATACAATAACTAAAACAATTTAAATTGTATCTATTCTTTCTCCATTCATTTTTGTTCTCTTTCTTTCCCATCCTGTTTTCTTAGTATCAGTTTTAGATCTGAAGTCCATTCTTTCTAAACTACCAAGCATATCGGTGGAGATAGAGTGACATATGTTATGGATATGGATGACAGATGTTACATAATATAATAGGCTTTTGAAGAGAGCTATTATGGTGTGATGGTTAAAGTGCATGATGATGATGTGCCATCAAGTCACTTTCAACTCCTAGTGACCACACAGATTGATCTTCTCCATGACAATCTATCCCTAACTTGTTCTTTCAAGTCTCTCAATGGTGCACTCATTGCCACCATCACTGAGTCCATCCGCCTTGCTGCTGGTTGTCCTCTTCTTCTCTTTCCTTCCACCTTTCTCAGCATTAGGGCCTTCTCTAAGGAGCTAGGTCTTTGCATAATTTGTCCTAAGTAGGATAATTTGAGCCTGGCCATTCGTGTCTGAAGTGAGAACTCTGGGTTGATTTGTTTGATGATCCATTGGTTTATTTTCTTGGATGTCCATGGTATTCTCAGTGCTAGATTAGGAGTGGGGAGACCCAAGTTCTAGTCCTTCCTTAGGCATGGAAGTCAGTTGGGTGGCCTAGGGCCAGTCATACTCTCTCTCTGCCCCCAAACAGCATCAGGCTCTGTGACAAACCGGCTGAAGAACATAGTCCTCATCACATCGATGAACTAGACAAGTCCACAACAAACAAGTGGACCCTCCAATGGTGGAACAAGTGCTTAAAAGAAAAAAAAAGATTGGTGAAATGTGACTTAGATTTGCTTCTACAAAGAGCTGCTCAGTGAAGGCAACTTAACTTCCAGCCTTCTCCAGTGACTTCTGCAAAAGTACTGTATGGATGCAGAAGCCCATCCTGGCTTTTCCAAATGACAGAGGACAATGCCCGAGGGTCTGCAAAGCAGAGCAGAATGAAGCAACGTGTTCTCTTGGGGGTCATGTTGCCTTATAAAACAGCTGTGGGGGAGACTTTGCTCAAAC